GACGATAGAAAAGGATAATCAAAACAGAACCATACAGTGTGACGACAGCAAAGATTGATATGAACAAAAACAAAATATCAGTAGTAAATAATGTTTTCGATAGAAAGACATTATAAAGCACTAAAATGCTTCTTTTTTTTTTTAAAGAAAGAAATACAAAAAGAAAGAAGAAAAGAAAAAAAAAAAAAAAAAAAAAAAGATAGAATAATCCCATAAGCGTTGCGACCCCATTTTTCAGCAGCACTCGCAGAGTTTTAACTCCCATGGTACCAGTTACACTCTGGTTGTTTTTCCCTCTCGCCTTTCCCAAGAGTGTTAAGGGTAGGCCAGATCCTCTGGTCACACCTCGAGGCACCATTCTGCTGATAACTTTATGATCTGTCTGTGCCTCTGCACTGTTCACTCGCTCCCAACAGACCATTACAGAACATGGCTTGCCATACATCAATATACCACCAAGTGGTGCAGAACCAGCCAGTCTGCATGCCTCTTTATTTCCCAACACACCGGTATGAGCTCAGAAAATATCCAAAGGACGCTGACTACCCGCGACTTCTAAAGCGATATTTGTCACTTGGCATGAAGCATACCTGTCTCCACTTCTCTCAACATGCTCAAATTTAGTACTTTTCCTTACGTCCTTTTTAGGACGTAATTTTTTGTTATTTGAAGCCCCACTCTGGCTTTTGCCAGGGGCCGCAATACAGGCAGGCCATCAATATGGCCAATTGTCTGAACGCGGTTTCTGAGACCTCTCCACGGTGATCCTAATCCGCATGGTGGCACTTTGTGTCATCGGGTGTTTATCGCTTGTGTGATGTCCTGGTGGGGTAGAAAGTCAGTCAGTCAACATGCTTTACGAGTCAGTTACAACTAAACTAAACTGAAAGATGTAATAATAGTAAAGTTAATTAACAGAAAATGCAACATTTTTTTTTTTAATCACTGGCCAAAACAGAGTTTATTTTCATTTGAAATATTGTATTCCTCATATTATATATATTGTATCCCTAGGGATATTTACATATATATATCATACAGTTAAACAGTGTAACGGAATATTGACAAAGTTACTGATGTTTTAGTCTTTTGAGATAGTTACTGATATTTTTGTCAGCTAAAATTGTGAGTGATGTTTCACTTCGCTGAAATAAATACCGGTCTTTTTGTCTACTGAAATATTTACTGGTGTTCGTTTCTACTGAAATATTTACTGGTGTTCGTTTCTACTGAAATATTTACTGGTGTTCGTTCTGCTAAAAAAGTTTCTGATAATGGAGTCTGTGAAACTGTATTGAATGAAATAATTTATAACCTAATGCCCGCTTTAAATATATGAATGTTCTTCTGCAATCATAATTCTTTTCTGTAAAAAAGAAATCAACACTATTGTAGGCTTAACCTATAGAATATTTGCCAAATTGTGATGATTTATCCCTTTTTAAGACTTGGTAAAAGTTTCAATAAATGCTTCGGTTCTTTCGTTTGTTTGTGTCTTCGGAAACTGAAACTAATCATGTATGTTTAAGGTTAGCCCATGGAACATAATTCCTAGTTAATGGATCATGGATTTTTTTTTCCTCATTTAAAAATTCAGTAAGTATTTTGGTTCTTTCGTTAGTTTGTCGCTTTTTTTAAAAAAGAAATTTTGAAATGTTTTTTCTTTCTTTTGAATTAGCTAATTAATTGCCAAGTGATAATAGATTAAAATAGTTTTAATCTAGTCAAATATTCATTGAATGCTTTGGCTCTAATGTCTGTGAGTTTTAGGAAACTGTAACGCATGCTCCTTCATGGGCTACAGTGGCATTGGTGCCACACGTCTCGGTATCAAAGAGGCACTTGTTGGGGTAGGTCTGTCCATCGCTGCCACAAACAGGCTGGTCAATGAATGTACATCTAAGGGCACCACAGGGCCTTGGGGTGTCGCATGCTCCTTCATGGACTACAGTGGCATTGGTGCCACATGTCTGGGTATTAAAGCTGCATGCGTTGGGATAAGTAACCCCGTCGCTACCACACACTGGTTGGTAATCAAAGGTGCAAAACGTGTCTGTGTCGCAGGGTCTTTGCGTGTTGCATTCTCCCTCATGTGCTAGGGTAACTCCCTGCCCACATGTTTCTGTTTCAAAGATGCATCGGTTGGAATAGGTAACTCCGTCGCTGCCACACACTGGGATTTTCTCCCGTGTACACCTCATGGCATTACAAGGTGGGTTAGCGTTACATTCTCCCTCGTGCTCTAGGGTAACTCCCTGCCCACATGTTCGTGTTTTAAGGATGCATTGGTTGGAATAGGTAACTCCGTCGCTGCCGCACACTGGCATGTACTCCATTGTGCACATCACATCCGCCCCACATGGTTGAGCAGTAGTAATTTGTCGGACACACTCTCCGGCATAATCCATCTTGATTTTTCCACAAGTGAAGCTTCTCAAGTAGCAGCTGTTGTCGTAAGTGATTCCATCTTTCCCGCACACTGGATCATAATTGGTTGCACATTTGAGCATGGGACATTCGGGTCTCCTGATTCTGAAGGCAAAGGCTGAAATTAAAAGTTAATAATGATGATTACTTTTTTGTATATCAATGCTCTTATTACAGATGTAGACACATCATTCACCACAGGCCCCCTTTCCCCTTCTCCCCTTTTCCCGTCACTGGAATACAGGTTACTTGGCACAGGTTTTGCGGTGTCCCAGTATGACTATAATTAAAAAAAAAGTAAAGCACCCTTTTTAACGCCTTTAGGCGTATCGGGCATATAGGGCTAGACTTGTATTTTATAGACCAATCGGTCCAAGTTGGGTGATGGGGTCAGCATAACGCCGGCCGCCTCCACTTCCCGGGACTGCGCCTGGTACCCACTCAAGGCTGGGTCGACTTGGGAGTCAAGGTCATTTTTGAAAAAAGTTCGGCTCCAGTATGACTATGGTATATGGTTATTGGGTTGAAAGGAGTTACGGGGATTTGTAGCTATTTGATTCGTATTCTTGAGATGTTAATCTTACATAATGCAAATCTGGAGGGATACGATTTTTTTATTGTGAGATAATCCTAATGTTCTGAAGTGAATCAGCAGATTAGTGAGTGGCGATTTACAAGCTGATGAGATGCATTTCTATAGCCGACTGAGGAAAATATGTTGGAAAGATAAGACTGTCACAGACCTCTGGTATGACCTTGCTGGTCCGTGGCTCGTAAATGGGCCTATGACAGACAGACCAACCTTTAACACACACTGAAGCCGAACGCACACAGAGCACACACGACAATCTTTATTGGAAGTACAGGTAATACATAGACAGTTGACTTCCCGCTGTGTGGCCACCTATTGCATGGACCCTCTGGCTGAACGGGCTTTACAATCCCAGTACGTGCTACAGGCAACCTCCTGGTGTACAAACCACAGCCCGTCGAGATACGTTCTTTTCTATCGCCACACTGACCCAATCAAACTGTCACAGTCTCTGTCTTAGTGCAGGGTCAGAGTGTCAAGGTTAGCCACTCTCTCACAGTACATATACATAAATACTCTACACAAGAACTATTCTATCCTAACACAAAACTGTACATAAACTATCCAGTCACTAACAGAAATATATCCTAACTTTAATACTATAACTGTCTTCCTAAACGTCCTCTCTTCCTGACCGACGCACACCGAATGTCCTGTGTTCTCTCTTCCTCGTGTCTCTTGACACCGTTCACCCGCTCAGCCCCAAAAGCGGTCATCGTGCTGTCGACTTGTCTAACAGCGTTCACCCTTTCTTGCCGTGGGCAAACGCTTTATCCTAAGTGCTGGTTTCGCTGTGCAATAACAGTGGGACTTGCCCAGTCACGGCCCTGACCTTTGTGTCAACCCTGGGGTGTCACCTCAACACGCACACCTACGGTGTGGTACATTCCGCCACTGACTGTACTCACAGGGTTGTGACAAGACTAATGTAATTCTATAGCTCACTGAGGAGAATAAGTTGGAAAGATAGCAAGACTAAAGTAATTCTATAGACGACAGGTGAGAATAAGTTGGAAAGATAACACGACTAGTGTAATTCTATAGACGACTGATAGGAATATGGTGAAAAGATAACTAGCCTAATGTAATTCTATAGACGACTGATCGGAATATGGTGGAAAGATAACAAACCTAATGCAATGTTTTAGACGACTGATCACACATATCGTGATTGTAACTGACTCAGAAAGCATGTTGAGAAATGCGAGGACGAGCATGCTTCGTGCAGATTTTTATGCTTTGCTTTGGAGGTCACGTGTGAGAAGCATTGTCTGCATCTTTTCTTCAGGGTATGCCATTGTGTTGGAAAATAAACAGGCCGACAGACAGGCTGGCTCTGCACAAATTGGTGGGATTTTTATGCATGTTAAGGCAGCCGTGGTAAGGGACTTTCAGGAGAACTTGTACAATTCGGAGGAGCAAATGGATCACCACAATCTGGTGATAGTGATGCAGCGGGTGTGACGACGGGATCTGGCCGATCCCCCGCCCTCAGAGAAAAGGCAAGACGGTCGTATAATCAGAATACTACTGGCACCATTGGTACTGGAACCTTTGCGCTGGCTGCTGAAAATGGGGACTCAGCGTTTATGGGAATGCCCCGAGTGCTGTGATTTCGGTGCCTGAATCAACTCAACTCAGAAAACCGACGATAGTACCGTGGAAAGATAACACGCCTAAAGCAGTCTTATAGACGACTGATAAAGTCATGCTAAAAAGGTAAAAAAAAAAAGCATGCTGTCTTACAGAGGATAAAATGCGTATTGGAAAGGCTGGAAAGGCAAAATTTCTAATGAAGTTGCACAGACGGATAACCCATAACAGAAGAGACAATCCACATTTTCCTTTACGTTGTAAAAATTGATAAATTGTTCAAGAAACTAGACAACTTTTTCAGTCCCAGTTAATTTTTAATTCAACAATGTGTATGCTAATCTCCTTCTTCTTTTTATTTATTCACAGGATGTAAGCTCAGGCGGAAAGTCCTGGTTGTTCGTCCATTTGGACTTTGGCTTTTTGCTAGGGCCTGAGCTCTGTGTGTACATTCGTTTTACTGGCTTTTTTTGTACAGCTGTTTGTTTCCGGCAGCTCCGGTAGATGACTCCGACTTCGAATGAAGCCCCCAATTAGTCGACATGTTTGTAAGCTTGGCAGTGGGTTTGTTGTTGTTTTCCCCCACAATGGGGCCCTGGAACCCACACTGGGAGTTTATGCTTAAGATTTCAGATGGTAAATAAACAATAAAAAATTCTCACAAAACTGAAAAAGACAGCATTAGTACAAAATGCATTATAATAACCATTGCAAAATAAGAGGTTAACATGGGTATGGAAAAGAACTGCATACTTTACAAAGGATGACAGAGAATGTAGTGTGAGTTCCCTCGTTATGAAAGACTTGAAGAAGAGAATGCGGAAAGCATGGTCAGGTGAAAAGATCATGTATCGACCATATGTATTAGAGATTATATACAATACACAAGACAACAGATTGAGGCACACCCGACAAGCAACATCACATAGTATGGACGACAAGAAAAAGTATGAATTCCAGTTCAACGACCTATCTTTTACTTCAACATAGCAGCTATTTGCAAGTTGCCATCCATGACATTTTCTAAAATATCAGTAGGAAAGGAAATTGGAAAATGATCTCTTTTTCTTCTCCTCATCCTTCTATGTTTTCTTTTTCTTCTTTCCCTACTTAATTTTCCCTTTCTTTATTTTCCTCCTCCTACTCCTCCTCCTCTTCTTCTTCTTCTTCTTCTTCTTCTTCTTCTTCTTCTTCTTCTTCTTCTTCTTCTTCTTCTTCTTCTTCTTCTTCTTCTTCTTCTTCTTCTTCTTCTTCTTTTTTTTTCTTCTTCTTCTTCTTCTACTTTTTCTTCTTCTTCTTTTTCTTCTTCTTCTTCTTCTTCTTCTTCTTCTTCTTCTTCTTCTTCTTCTTCTTCTTCTTCTTCTTCTTCTTCTTCTTCTTCTTTTCTTCTTCTTCTCTTCTTCTTCTTCTTTTTTTTTTTCTTCTTCTTCTTCTACTTTTTCTTCTTCTTCTTCTTCTTTTCTTCTCTCTCCTCTTCTTCTTCTTCTTCTTCTTCTTCTTCTTCTTCTTCTTCTTCTTCTTCTTCTTCTTCTTCTTCTTCTTCTCTTCTTCTTTTTTTTTTTTCTTCTTCTTCTTCTTCTACTTTTTCTTCTTCTTCTTTTTCTTCTTCTTCTTCTTCTTCTTCTTCTTCTTCTTCTTCTTCTTCTTCTTCTTCTTCTTCTTCTTCTTCTTCTTCTTCTTCTTCTTCTTCTTCTTATTCTTCTTATTCTTCTTCTTCTTCTTCTTCTTCTTCTTCTCCTCCTCCTTCTCCTCCTTCTTCTTCTTCTTTTTTTATATTCTGCCTTCTTCTTCTTTGTCATCGAAATTTTTAAGTGAGATGTAAGGGTCCTTTGTTTGCTCTTTCTAATGAGTTGCAAAATTTGACGAGAAAGAATGGATGCAGAAAGATCAAATGTACATTGTATGGGACAGAAGAAGAAAAAAAGTTGACTAGAATGTGAAGGAATAACATGGTATCATTCTGTAGGTGATGTGAAGGGATAACACAGTATCAGACTGTAGGTTATGTAAAGGGATAACACAGTATCAGACTGTAGGTTATGTAAAGGGATAACACAGTATCAGACTGTAGGTTATGTAAAGGGATAACACAGTATCAGAATGTAGGTGATGTGAAGGGATAACACAGTATCAGACTGTAGGTGATGTAAAGGGATAACACAGTATCAGACTGTAGGTTATGTAAAGGGATAACACAGTATCAGAATGTAGGTGATGTGAAGGGATAACATAGTATCAGACTGTAGGTGATGTGAAGGGATCAAATAGTATCAGACTGTAGGCTATGTGAAGGGATAACATGATATCATACTGTAGGTGATGTGAAGGGATAACATAGTATCACACTGTAGGTGATGCGAAGGGATAACATAGTATCACACTGTAGGTGATGTGAAGGGATAACATAGTATCACACTGTAGGTGATGCGAAGTGATAACATAGTATCACACTGTAGGTGATGTAAAGGGATAACATAGTATCAGACTGTAGGTGATGTGAAGCATATGACTGACTTGTTATACAAAGGAAGCACACTTTGCGAATATGAAAATGAGATTTCTAGTTGAGTTGTTTGTGTGAGGGAAGACCTTAACACAAGGTAACAAAACAAAAACAAAAAAGAATAAAAAAATATTTCTACAATAATAATATGAATGTATAGATTGAGAGAAACATGTGGCTAGACTGGAAAGGATTGGGGGAAAAAAGGGGAGGGGGGCTGTGCATCTGCTGAAAGCGGCAAATAAACGATCATCGGCTTGATTGGAATTCTTATGGAGGCGGCAGATTTCTAACAGATTTTTTTTCTAAGAATATTTCTTTCTTTACAAGTAGCTAATCCAAACTGGGCACGCTATGACAAGAGGAGAACTGGATTTTAACCAGGCAACAGGGAAGTTGTAGGAGAATATAGATAACATGAGATCAATATTGAAAATGATTGACTAGATCGTATCAAGGTTCGAAATCGGTAATAATTGTATTCGTCTTCTGAACAACAAGATTTCAGAGTAGGTTCCATGGTACTTTTTTGAGGACGAACGTAATAAACCCAAAATCATGTCGTAAACGGCTACTAATTAGGGGTTAGCTAAAATCGAATGCGTAAGCTTAAACCCCGGGTAAAACAGCTTTGTTGTAAACTACAAAAAACGTGCCAACCGCATAAGAAGAAGACAGAAAAGAAAAAAGGAAGAAGATGAAGGAGGAGGAGAAGAAGAATAAGAAAAAGAAAAAGAAGAAGAAAAAGAAGAAGAAGAAGTAGCGATTGCATTAGACGGGTTATCATGTGATATTTTCATTCTGAACGCTTGGCTGCCGAGAGTCTGTGGGCAGCTAGCACGGTAGAAATAGTAACCGGTGTCTGTCATCTGTAATACTTTCTGCATAAGTGGGGTAGCTATGTCACACGAGTTCGTTTCGTTATGTTAAGACTGTTAACAAGCTTTAAGTGCTAGGTGAGAGGTAAACCGACTAGGGTATTTGAAATCAATAAAAAAACAGCGATAATAAATAGTAAAAAAATGCATTTTCTATTTGTTATTGAAACTGTCAAAAACAGCTGTTCAATTAATTGCTCCCTACTGTATGATTGTGATGTTAATAATGATGTTGGTACAGTTGTACTCTAAAGAAACATAAAATTACCATTCTGAAGAACAACCAGCAGAAAGGCAATCGGCAACACTTGTTTGTACATGTTGAAGTGTGAGGTAGCTGGGAAGTACAAGAAGATAGCTCCAAGACCTGTACACGGTTGGACATTCGCACATCTTTATATACTGTTCCAAGTCTATCACGGGACTAGAGAAACTGGAACACTGAAAAAATATAGTGACAATATTTGGGTACAGATCAATTCGAACTGTGTTTTTCGTGTTGCTTCTTTTTCTCTCAACGTAAATCATTCGCTGATAGCTGTAATTGATACGTGCGTCACTGTTTGCTATTAGTTTTAGCTAGTTGGTTTTTTTCTAGTTACACCTGGAAACTTGAACGAATGGCTCATCTTCACCCGACCGTTCGACACAGTGGGTAGAGGATGAAGTTTTTGTATCTGCAATACATTCACTTTATCCTGAAAGTTTGTGTAAAACTATTTAACAAATTTTATTTAAATATGTCCTTTGACGACATCACAGTTTAGAAGCTAAGTGTTTCTAACATTTTTACACAAATAAATCAGTCTGTATTTCTGCATATTTTTGTTTGCCTAAAGAGAAAGAGAAGGGAAAAAAGTGGAGGGGGAGCCCCCCCTCCTCCCCCCCCCCCCACTTACAAGGCTCAATTTCCGTATCTCTGAACCCCCCGTTAAGAGATACGGAAATTACAACATTCAAAATGGAAGAAAAGGAGGTGGAGGGTAGAGATAATGAAAATACAACATACAAAATAAGAAGGAAAGAGGGGAGAGGGTGGCGGGAGGGGAAGAGGGCAGGAAGAACTATCGAACGGATAAATAAACACATGAATATGTTTAAAACTTTGCGTACAGGCAATTCATCATCTACTGTCCCCCAAACAAACAATAAAATATTACAATCATGAGAAGGTGTACCAGGATTATTCCAACAAAACTACACTGGGTTAAATCTGTGTGGCAATTTTAGGAAAGTTGGGAGGAGAAATAAGACAGAATCGCGAAAGGAGGAGGGGGGGGGGGGGTTGAGGGTAAAGACACAAAGGAAAACTGGAGCGTCAGGGCTCAATGGGACCTAATCCTTGTAAGAGTGCCCTTTACCGACTAGGTCAACTATTGTAAGGGTTTCAGCCTCTACTGTTCCCCCGATAATTTTGTAAGGAGTTTAGGTAATCCCCATTAAACAAGTATAAAATCATCTTCCAAACATTCGGTTAAATATTTCCTTTTATTTCACATATAATATTACATTTATTTACATTAAGCACATTAGTATTATTATATTCTGAAATTAGGATTAGGTCTCTTCAGCTCTCCAGCCCCTCGCCTTTTTTCTAGATAGAAGTGGGGGAGGCTAAAGCCCCTAGACACTATTTGAAGCTTGCACACGCAAAGTACAAAAGCATAAGAAAAATGTTAGGTGTGTCAACACTAACGGTCCCACACCAGAATTACAGCCCACTGTTGGCACAAACCATAAGTCACGAAAGCCGGCATTGCACTCGCGAAAATAAACACAATTCTGAACCTATCTGGCCACTCGCCATAATTGGTTCCTAGGGAAAAACGGAAAAAATCCTACTGCTTGAAATACACTGCTCACAGTCTCTCACCAAGCACTCCAGTTAGTAGCTGGTCAACGCAACCTTTGGACTCCCGGTTCAGAAATGGGAAATTTGTGGCAGTAAACCCCAAGGGACCCTTTTCCACATCTTCAGGCACATTGGACATATAGGACTAGACCTATTTTGTAGAGACCAATCGGTTAGCAACATCACCCCGGCCGCCTTTGCTTTCCATGGCTATACCTTGAACCCATTAAAAGCTGGATCGACCTGGGAGCCGATGTAATTTTTGAGAAAGGTCCAGCTCCATCAGCACTTGAACACGTGAATCTTCCCATCCCCAGTCGAGCTACACCACCAAGGCTCCCTGGTTAGTAAAAGGCAATGGTTATCTAATCAACACTACAAAGTCGCTTGTACTGCTTTTTATGTCGTCTATTGTCTCCAAGAGAGTATCTCCCGTTTCTAAATAGTGTTCCAATGACTGGAAGCACAATACAATTATTGTACAACGGGAAAATGGAGAAGAATATCGAAAAAGCATGATATTATATTTGAAAAGGCATTGAGAAACTAGAAGTGTTAATTTTTTATTAGCGAGCGACATCGCTTAAGGAAAATATAAAATGGATCCGTTTCGTTTTTGTAGTTCGCTCTCTTGACTTCGTGTGTTTCCATTTTCTGTAAATAATCAGACTGCTAGGTCAGCACAAATTATAAATTAAGCAATAATACAGCTGTTGAGGGAATTTGACTCTTTCTTCTCAAAATGTATGCACATTCTGGACAGAAAAAAAAATGTATCCTTTTATTTATCTGAGAATATTTATGAGGAATTTGTTGCGTTGGAGCGACAATATGCTCTTTGTACTATCCTTAAAAGGGGTAAAAAAAGTCGAACTATTATTTAAAAAGAACAGATTCCACTTCAGAATTCTCACATACAGATCAACTGATATATCTACTCCACGATACATAAAAGGTTGTGAGCCTGTGGAACGTTTATAGATGTCCATCCCCATCTTTTCTTATTGAGCAAAAATTCAGATACAGTTATTAAATTTTCTCAACGAGAACAAAATTCCATTATCAAACTGCCCTAGTTTGTCATGTGATAATTCTTCAAATTTGTATGGACGAAATAATTACAGCTGTGAAAATCATCAACTCTTCTAGTTTGTCGTCTATGTCAGCTATGCCAGGAACAGCTTGAACTTGGTGTAAGTAAAAGTAGCAGAGGGTTGTCTACAGTACCTACAATGCTTTGCCTCTGGTCAGCTTCTTTTGTTCGACACCGATCGGTGGGATGTATGGCCATCATCTTTAGGAAAAGCTTTTTTGGTCAAGTCTGAGACAAGACGGTCAGCACTTTTTGATTACCCGTTTGCTTTTTTATGGGGATTTCGAGGTATAAAAATATTGACTGGATTCTCTACCTGACAATGAACAGCTTGTATTCTGGATACAATCATTCTCATAACACTTTGAAATGGTTAGAAGGAATGAATAAAACAAGCTGGGTCATTCAATCAAAGGATGTTGCCACCGTCTTGAGTCTTTGAAAACCTAACTACGTTAAACTAGAGTCACATTTAGTGAGTGTGATTTCAAAGCCAGAAATATGTGTCCAGGTATAGGTTACAGTGATAGGGAAAAGGGGAATGACACGAAGTTTCAGTTTTAGTAGATATGTGGCTCAGCATAACTGCCAGAAGAGATCATTCTTAGCAAAACCCAACAGTTTAAGGTGGAGACGTTTCGCCCTGTTCTAGACACGCTAATCGTTGAACTGGAAATACGTACAGAAGCTTTTTTTTTTTCACACACTGGAAATCTGTTTCTTTTCTTCAGTGAATTAAAAACCATAGCCCCTGATACACTAAAGCAAAAGAATATACATCTGGCTAAAATGAGTCACAAAGAACTGCATTCTGGTGATTTTGTAAATGAATGCCCCTCAAGCACTCAGTGTACTAAACAAAACAAGATATTTGGATAATTTGAAGTGAGTTTTTGTAGAATAAGTAATAGGCACTCAAAAGTGTTTATGTACATGATGGTAACCAACTGTACAGGAGAATGTTCGTTTTCAAGACTGCATTTTTTCCCTCTTACACAATGGGACAACTTTATTTAAACTGGCTTTCACTCATGTGCATGGAAAATGACATCATGAAGACCGCTGACTTTACACCAACAATAAAACAATTCTGTCAATAAGGAAAACAAAATAAAAGAAGCCATCAGAAATTCTTGTTATAATGAGAAGTTCGTAGCAATTTCATACTGTGAAAAGTAACCTGTGCTTATGTTTTAAGGCCAGTTTTGATATAGCGCCAGTAAAATAAATACAAAATCCGACAATTAAGTAATGAGACTGATTTTATTATAGCCAAGACAAAAAGGCCATGTATGAAGCAAAGCAGGGAAAATAAAGAGGCAACAGTCATCTATGATCTGGTAACTTTTTATCGCCTCTCGAAAAGCAGACAACAAACAGGCCGCCATTTTGTTGATCTAGTCAGAGGTGCATTGTTACGTAATCAGCATGGAACAAAAAGCTAACATTCAATTCTTTTTAAAACTCAGAAAAAGCGCATTGAAACAGTTCAATTGATGAAGCAAGTTTATGGGTATAGCTGTTTATCTCGTGCACACATTTTCATGTGGTATTTACAATATGAAAGTGGTGTGAGAATGATTACAAATGCACCTAGAACTGGATGCCAAAGTTTAATTCGTAATGATGAACTCATTGCAAAAGTCAGAGAACGGATACAAGAAGATCATTGTTTTACTGTGAAGATGATGGCAGCTGAATCTGGTGTTAATAGAGAGACCATTCGTAACATTTTAGTGCATGATTTTGGCAAGAAAAAAGTTGCTTGTCCATTTGTACCACATTAGTTGTCCGATGACCAAAAGCATCAGCGGATTAAGTACCCAAAAGACATCAAAACAAGCAGTTTTGTCCCAAAAACAAGTGTGTGTTCTCGGCATTCCACCCTATTCCCAAGATGTATCTCCCTGTGATTATTTTCTATTCCCAAAATTAAAGTTACGATTGAAAGGACTTTTCTTTAACGATATTGATGATATCCAAAGGGCCGTAACATCGACTTTTAGGGCCATAACAACAGAAAAACGTCAGAGGACGTTCCAGTGTTTCTTAGATCGTGCCACTTGCTGTATCAATGCAAAAGGGGCTTACTTTAAATCAGACACATGTTACATCTTCAACTGTTGATTATTTTAATTTTAATGAAATCAGTCTTATTACTTAATTGTGGGACCTTGTGTGTGTTAAATACTATCGACCATTTACATTTAATTGATGTGAGGGGTTATCATAGGGGCCCCATTCTACTATGTTGAACATTGACCAATAATGCTCTTAAGACGGCCCTGCCATCCCCTTCCCTAACGCAATATAACACTGTCGTCAAGAAGGGAGGCACAAGTCCCAAGTGATATCCATTATGTTCCACTTTTATC